CCACGATATATTCTTTTATTTTTAATGTATAATGTTCAAAGTTGTATGCAATTTTGTTTGGCATAACATGAATAAAAGATTAAAATTTTTGAATATATAATATAGTTTTTTGGAAAAGCCTTCAATTCTAAGCAATTAAATATGATTTAAGTCACATTATTGAAAATTTGATAATTTTGATAGTGGTGTAGGTCCATTTGTGGTCACAAAGTCCCAATTTTTCTTCAAGCAATTCCGATATATCTTATACACCTGAAAAGTTTAAATATTTGTCACCACAAGAGACATAAAGTGAGACTACCAGTGATCATTAATATTTTTGAGTCGATTAAAACGCGAACCCTTAAATATCTCGATATTTATGAAAATGGACTTACACCACTATCAAAATAAACGGCTCATATGATCCACGATGATCAGTTGAGAAATTAACAGTTTGACTGTTAATGAATCAATTATGGTCAATTATTATTCTTGCCTGTGTCTGAGCTGTGATTGCCACTGAAAACTAGCAGAACTCTCCGCCTTCATCGAAATCAGTTTGCCTACAACATCTCTGGCGTGCACGTCGATCGTACAAATCGTCATGATTTTCCTTCTGTCACTTTCATTTAAATCTCCACAGAGTAATGTTATCAAAGTGTTCAGTTGGATAACCTGCTTTCTCTGGTAATCTTTAAACGCATTCTCAAAACCTTCTTCCAGTCTCATGAAGGCCATGTTCACCTCGGTAGTCCACCAAATTTGACTTCCACAGAGGGCAGGTTGAGCTGGGTGATCGAAAATCCATTGTTCTCGTGGTTTTTCATCGTAAGTGGCTACCGCCTGAGATATGTGGAATCTCACTGTTCTCTTCATTGCATCTGTCACATTATTCAGCCAAACTTCCACCTAAAGGAATAAATTATCCTTTACGAATACGATACATTCTACTCACGCTATTTAAAGACTTAAGCCTTTCTCAGTATCAACTAAACAATATCAGTTAAACTGCAAATAGAAAAACATAACAATATGAAGAAAACTGCAAGCTAATCGATTGGATGACTGTATTGAAACATGAACTTGGTCATCGACAAGGAGATATTTAGGCATTCTTAATCTCCATTCGGTTTTAGCTAAGACACCCTATACAGGGTGTGCCGTAAAGAGTGTAACACCCGGAAATGGAGTGTTGTTGGGGTGACTCTGAACAACTTTTTCCTTGACTAAAATGTTGTTTGAAGCTTCGTTTTTGAATTATTAACGAGAAACACTGGCCAATCAGAGCGCGCGTAAAGCCCGCGCTCAGGCACGAACGAAGAGAGATTCACCCGCGCGCTATCGTGAACAAGCGTACGCGTGATATTTAGAATGGGTCCGGCATTCAACGTGTTAAACGACTTGTTAGCTTATTTGTTATTCGTGAATAACGAATAATTCCAGATTATTCTTAATTTAACACGATGTAACATTTGCCGCACGCTTCCCTCGATACCCACGCTGTGCCAGTGTGTTTGTTCACGATCGCGCGCGGATGAGTCCCTGCGCTCCCATGCCTGGGGGCGGGCACTACGCGCGCTCTGATTGGCCAGTGTTTTTCGTTAATAATTCGAAAACGAAGCTTCAAACAACATTTTGGTAAAGGAAAAAGTTGTTCAGAGACACCCCAGCAATCTCCCATTTCCGAGTGTTACACTCTTTACGGGACTTCCTGTATATATTTCCAATAATAGACGCGGTTTATTAAGATATACACATATGTAAAGATTAAGATTCAATATCTTTATGCTGTAGTTGAAGTGATCTTCGCAAATATTGTATATTAACGAATATACGAATAACGAATATATTTATAATTATCTAAGTACATTAAACTTTTCGACTTTTTCTCAATAGATATTTATGTGTTAAAGAATACAAAAGAAAATAATTAATAGTAAAAATAATAGAGTTTTGTAGGATATAAAACATAATACTTCAGCGCATCAAGTTATTGAGATTCAAGGTTTACACTTCTTGTGGCGGTACGTTCTACGCTTCACCACCAGAGGGATGGACTAACATTAACCTTTCTCACTAGTCCTCGATCAAGGCTCTTTCTATGCAGGGTGTTCCGTGTAACGCGACGCAATTATTCAGCCATTTGCGGCCATGTGAGAAAAAATGGTTTCAAGAAAAATTAATCGGTGTAACAAATGGCAATAATACAAATTTCGAAAATAGTTTGTTCTCATAGCGAAATTAAGGTCATCTTGAGTATTTCAAGTAGGATGAGATATTATGTTCTCATCATATTGTAGAGGACATTAAGACGAATTCGAAAAGCGTATACCATCTTATTTTTATAAACACATGTACTATGTTTACAGTAGTGTAAATAAGAATATTTAACTTTTGGTCGCATTCTACTTTTGAACCATACAAAAGTACGAAGCATAATAATTATTATACAAGTATAACAATATTTCATTAAATGTCAAGAACTGAAACATTTCACGTTTCTCTATTATAAATATAAAACTCAGTACTGTATTTTTATATTTGTTATGAAAAAGTACCTTTCCACTGCAATCACAACTTCCGTGAAGACGTATTGTTTCACCATCTTTAGCAATCATGACGATCGCGAGTTTCGTGTGTTTTCCACCGTCCATTTTCCAGTCTAATTTTGCCAGAGAATCGTACAGTTTCGACAAGTGTTTGCAAACCAGTTCAGGGTTGTTACCTTGTGAAATAATTTATCGAATAATTGTAATACTCTTTTTCATTTTTCATAGAAACGTGACGAAAGTATGTATGTACGTATTTATTTACATATATCGTTTATGTAAAATTCAAACGTGATAATAACTTTTCTTCAAGAGATTCTAAAAAGAACTTGCTAACAAATTTTAACAGTAAATCCCAAACAGTTGTTATTTTGAAATTATAGAGGTATTTAAAGAAAGAAGATTACAACTATTGAA